AAAACGTTCACAAAAAATCACATAGGCGACCTTCCTTTTGAGGCTACTACCTCTGTAACAATATGTAAAATCACGTAAAGCGTCCTCTGGTGATCTTGCCATATTCACAATAATACATTTTAAGTAAAAATAATAAAATCCATGGCCGGCGTTATTTACATTTAATACATAAAAAATATAAATTCGACTTTTAACAAAGCTAAAAACTTTGTACTTGTCCTTCTTTTCGCCGTTCTCACCATCAGCAATACTTTAAAAAACGTTCACAAAAAATCACATAGGCGACCTTCCTTTTGAGGCTACTACCTCTGTAACAATATGTAAAATCACGTAAAGCGTCCTCTGGTGATCTTGCCATATTCACAATAATACATTTTAAGTAAAAATAATAAAATCCATGGCCGGCGTTATTTACATTTAATACATAAAAAATATAAATTCGACTTTTAACAAAGCTAAAAACTTTGTACTTGTCCTTCTTTTCGCCGTTCTCACCATCAGCAATACTTTAAAAAACGTTCACAAAAAATCACATAGGCGACCTTCCTTTTGAGGCTACTACCTCTGTAACAATATGTAAAATCACGTAAAGCGTCCTCTGGTGATCTTGCCATATTCACAATAATACATTTTAAGTAAAAATAATAAAATCCATGGCCGGCGTTATTTACATTTAATACATAAAAAATATAAATTCGACTTTTAACAAAGCTAAAAACTTTGTACTTGTCCTTCTTTTCGCCGTTCTCACCATCAGCAATACTTTAAAAAACGTTCACAAAAAATCAGAGGCGACCTTCCTTTTGAGGCTACTACCTTTGTAACAATATGTAAAATCACGTAAAGCGTCCGCTGGTGATCTTGCCATATTCACAATAATACATTTTAAGTAAAAATAATAAAAACCATGGCCGGCGTTATTTATATTTAATACATAAAAAATATAAATTCGACTTTTAACAAAGCTAAAAACTTTGTACTTGTCCTTCTTTTCGTCGAGGATCCGGAAGGCTTTCGTTAAAAATCAATCTACAATGGTTTTTTCCATAATAAAACAAGATCTAAATACAGTAACCCAAGTGTAAGTGTAGTGTCCTAAGCCCAAAGCTGAAGGATGTGGTGAAAAGTGGGAACCGAAGTTCCAAGCGACTCTGCACCACCAGGTACACCCTGAGAGTGCAGAGGTAAAGGATAGAATACAACTAGCTTAATTCTAGTTAAAACTAAATTAAAATTAATTTAATCTAATTCGCGTGACAATAGTGAACAGTACTCCACAAAAGAAAAGTCCATCTTCATCTGTAATGCCGAATCACCAAGGAAAACACCAAAAGTTGCTTCAATACGTCAGAATGAAAACATCGATCGTCTTCTGATGTCAGCGACGTCCGTTGTAAAAACCGTTAGAGAAGAGTTCGTTGACCTCTGAAGTGTAGAAAATTTTAAAATCGTAAAACTGCTCTAACTCAGCCAAAAATGATCGGAAGAGCAGATCGTAGGGTCTAATAACGTCTCACTATGGTCCAAAGATTAACAATGTGCGTAAAGAAGAAAGCCCGACGCGGGCCTCCGAAGGTTCAACACAAAAGGTGAAATTGCCAAAGACTGTAAAAAATATAAATCATTCTCCCATTAAGATTCCCATTAAAATTACATTAAATTTTTCTTAATCGAATACGTTCAATTAACATTAATTTTAAAACATTAAAAACTTGTTTATAAATATTCTCATCTAAAACAAAACGATATAAATAACTATCACTGGTGTAACTCTCTCTTAAATAAATACTTTGAGATCGAATTGTCGCAAGCAGTGGACACACAAACATAAAATGATGTAAACTGTCAACCTCACCACACTCACAAGTATTAAAACTAACCAATCCAAATTTAAAAAGTTTTGCCCGAAAATCCCCATGACCTGATAAAATTTGACAACTATAAAAATTTGGTTGAACCCACTGAGCCCGTGCTCTGCGAATAACAGAAGGGAAAAAGTCCGCAGTCTGCCTGCCTTTATCGGCAGTCATCCACCTAATATCCCATTCCTTATATATTTCAGCCTTAATTAATCTTTTAATCGCTGTGTCCGTCATATTACAACACCCATCTGGATAAGATAAAGTTCCCAAAGTAAAAGGTACCCTAGATTGCAATAAAAACCGATAATAAAAAAGCCGCACTTCTAAATCAATGGGTAATTCACCCGCTAAAACCTGTAAAGCTAAGGTAGAGGTAGTTCGGTAAGCCCTTGTTATAATTAATAATGCAATCCTTTGCAACTTCAACAGTCACTGACATAGAGAGGGCCCCAGCGCGTCGCCCCACGCACCAGCGGCATAAACAATAATAGATACATGGGGATTTAGCATTACTGTCAACGCACACAACAGTTCTTTTGTTCGGGAGGTGTCTCAACACTCTGTCTAGCCTTTCAATCCCCTCTTCAATGGGNCGCTAAAACCTGTAAAGCTAAGGTAGAGGTAGTTCGGTAAGCCCTCGTTATAATTAATAATGCAATCCTTTGCAACTTCAACAGTCGCTGACATAGAGAGGGCCCCAGCGCGTTGCCCCACGCACCAGCGGCATAAACAATAATAGATACATACAGTAGTCTATACAGTGTTCGCAGGGCGGGAAGCCTCAACCCCCACCCTGACTCCACAAGACTCTGCAGTTTCCCAAACTGGGCTACAGCTTTCTCTGCTACATAATCTATATGATTTGCAATACTCAGCCTCGTACCTAACTTAATGCCTAGGTAACGGACTGTTTTCACAGTTCTAATAGTAACTGCACCCAAACGCACACTAGGGGGACGATCCGGGCTGAGGACACCTCTCATTAACAACATCTCTGTCTTTAATGGAGCAAGTTGTAATTTAATATTATTTAACCAACTAACCAGAGACCGAAGTACCTGTTCAGCTGTATTCTCAATATGAGATCGACTATTACCCTCAATTAATATAACTAAGTCATCAGCATAAGCTATAAAACGGAACCCCAGCGATCGAAGACCAACCAAAACATCGTTAAAAACCAAATTCCATAGCTCAGGCCCTAAGACAGAACCCTGCGGTCATCCCTTACTCACTAATTTTTCATAATACTCCTCACCATGAGAGTACCTAACAATCCTATGATCAAAATAACTATTAATAACCCTGTAAATGTCCATCGGACAATTACGACGACGCAGAACACGCAACACAGCGGGCCACCAAATATTATCAAACGCACCAGCAATGTCAATAAAAAGACCTAAAACATTTAATACATAAAAAATATAAATTCGACTTTTAACAAAGCTAAAAACTTTGTACTTGTCCTTCTTTTCGTCGAGGATCCGGAAGGCTTTCGTTAAAAATCAATCTACAATGGTTTTTTCCATAATAAAACAAGATCTAAATACAGTAACCCAAGTGTAAGTGTAGTGTCCTAAGCCCAAAGCTGAAGGATGTGGTGAAAAGTGGGAACCGAAGTTCCAAGCGACTCTGCACCACCAGGTACACCCTGAGAGTGCAGAGGTAAAGGATAGAATACAACTAGCTTAATTCTAGTTAAAACTAAATTAAAATTAATTTAATCTAATTCGCGTGACAATAGTGAACAGTACTCCACAAAAGAAAAGTCCATCTTCATCTGTAATGCCGAATCACCAAGGAAAACACCAAAAGTTGCTTCAATACGTCAGAATGAAAACATCGATCGTCTTCTGATGTCAGCGACGTCCGTTGTAAAAACCGTTAGAGAAGAGTTCGTTGACCTCTGAAGTGTAGAAAATTTTAAAATCGTAAAACTGCTCTAACTCAGCCAAAAATGATCGGAAGAGCAGATCGTAGGGTCTAATAACGTCTCACTATGGTCCAAAGATTAACAATGTGCGTAAAGAAGAAAGCCCGATGCGGGCCTCCGAAGGTTCAACACAAAAGGTGAAATTGCCAAAGACCCGGTGGGCCAAAGTCAACGAAATTTGGTACGAACACTCACCACAAAGGGTCACGTCCAAAAACGTCGAGCTGTCCGGTTTAACGGTCATAGGTAGTCCGGAAAAGCGACCCGAAGAAGTCAAAACTACATTGTTCCGTAGTTTGAGAATTTGTGGGTCCACAGAAAATTTTTTCACATCAAAAGGTTTGCCTCGATAAGATCTATTAGGATCAACACAAAAAACCGCACAAAAATAAAAATAAACCACTAAAAACGCGAAAAGTTCAGGAGCTCGATCTTCCAGCAGTCACCAAGCCAAAGGAACAGTCCACTCATGTAGATAGGGACATTTTTTTTTTTTTTTTCATTAGGGGATCATCACTTCCCTTTACAGGGATCAGAACGCCCCGCACCGCTGTTGCACAACGGGGTTTTATAACTTACTTTATTCTGTACATTCATTATTACAGTAATTTAATATAATCATTAAATAAAAAAGAACAAACAAATAACAAACTACTGGACAACTCGCCCAGGAATATATTACAATTGAGCGCTCCTGCTCTTATGGACCTTCCTAAAGAAGATCTGAAGTTCCTTATATGTCTTATCATTCCTTATTAAATTGTAAATACTACAAGGCCAACCTAGCCCCTTAGCAAGCGTCACCGTTTTCAACAAATACCTCTGATATTGCTACTGTATACAATCATACATTATATGTTTCAAATCCTCAATATCTTCACCACAAATACATCCATTTCTGTCACCAAGGCTAAAACGCCTTTTGAACTCTCCCAAACCATCGTGCCCAGAGAGAAAGATCATTACTATTCTATCATGATTCAACCATTTCATTTGCCTGATTCTCTCTTCAATATTAGGCAAAAAGCCGAAGATTTTTCTTCCTTTATCACTGTTTGTCCAATTTTGTTGCCATATCCTTATGGTTTCATTTCTTAATAATGTCTTTGCCCAGAACTTTGGCCTTATATCAAATATCACCTGTGTATCACTTATCGCTTTTTTTGCCAATCTATCCGCCCTCTCGTTTCCATAGATTCCAACATGGGCTCGAACCCATTTGAACTTAATACTCTTTAACATTCTTTTATCATACAAGAGCTTTTTAATTTCGTATACTTGTCTTTGTTTCGAATCATGACTTAATAAAGCCTGTAGGGCACTAAGGCTATCCGTACTGATACATACACTCTCACTTTTATTATTTTGAATACACCATTCTACTGCTTTATATATTGCCAAAAGCTCCGCCTGAAAGTTGGAGCAATACTCTTCTAACTTGTATTTTTGACTGTATATCTCCTCATTCCTTTCATACACCACAATTGCTGCACCAGTCCCTTCATTGGTCTTAGAACCATCCGTATAAATCTCAGTATAGCACCTTTGCTGATCCATCTCTTGAACTCTAAACTCCATTGCCGGATGAGGCAGCTCTGTAATAGATATATCTCGTTCGTAATTTCCAATCTCAAAGTTAATTGAAGACAACCTCTCAGTATTACCTGTCTTCAACCAAAAACGCTTAGCTCTTTCCTCAATTACTAATTCAATAGGAGCCTTCCAGCCAATACCATTAATCCCTCTGTTGATGTCGTCCTATAACATTTCGTTAATCTCAGCAAAGCAATCCTCTGTGCTTGCCTAAGATGCTTATTTTGCAGTGAGTTATGCACTTTACCACACCAGACCGAGGCAGCATATGTCATTATAGGAACAAACATTCCATCATAAATACCTTCCATAGCCGAGGACCGGAGGCCCCATGTACCATTAGCAACTTGTTCCAATTTATTAAAAATGATATTGCACTTTATTTTAAGTCCTTTTATATGTTCATTCCAGCTCATTCTATTATCTATCGTCACACCCAAGTAATTTAGTTTCTTTACTATCTGTATATTTTCATTTCTCATCTTGATTATTGGTAATCTCCTTTCAAAAGCCGATGTAAAATTTCTTGCCATGACCATTGCCTTTGTCTTTGCAGGATTAAAGTCTAATTTGTTATCCTTACCCCAATTATCAATTTTTGTAAGAATGTTATTACACTCACTTTCAATATGTCTACGTGAATGTCCAGCCATGATTATGATAATATCATCTGCATACGCAGTACACCTTATTCCTTTATCTTGAATCTTCTTTGTCAATGCATCAAAGTAAATAATCCAGAAACTAGGGCCCGATTTCGACCCCTGCGGGCAACCTCTCTGTAATTCCTTTACAATCCTTGTGTATTTTAAGTAATATGTCGCAGTACGGTTATTAAAATAATCTCTAGCCATCAAATATAGATTTCTCGGGCACCTTTTCTCTCTTTCCATAAAATAAATTGCCACCACGCATTATCGAAAGCACCTCTTATATCCATACTTATTGCAACTGCATACTTAGCAGTTTCGAGCACTTCTTTAATGTCCTTTATTACTTTATTAATGGCTTCTTCTGTGCCCCTTTGAGCTCGGAATCCATACTGTACTTCGCTTATCCTACCTTCACCTTCCATATACCAATTTATACGCCTTATCATCAAATCATCAAGCACCTTGCCCATAGTAGGCAAGAGACTTATCGGCCGGAAACTACTAGGATCTGAAAGATCCCTCTTCCTTGGCCTTGGAACAATCACCACTTTAGCCATTTTCCATCTCCTTGGGAATATTCCATAATTCAAGCATTGATTATATACTTCTCTTAAAGCCTGTGGATTGGTTTCCCAAATCGCCTTGACTATTTGTATTACAATCCCATCTTCTCCTGGAGCCTTATTTGCTTTTATTCTATTTATACTATCTTGTATTTCATTATTTGTAAAAGGAGGGTCATCTCTTTCAATGTATTCCTCTTCCGCTCTCTTCCTAATCTCACTTTGCTTCCCAGTATCCTCTGATTGTATATCCCTTGGAAAAAACTTATCTAGGAGGAAAGAAATAGACTCCTCCAAAGTCGAGGTATATCCGTTCGGTGTCTTAATAGTCGATGTTATCAACCTTGTTTTCAATTTACCAGTGCTTAACTTGAACACAAAGTTCCAGGGATTACCAGAGTTCTCTTCACAAAATCGTCTCCAAGAATTTATCTTATATTCTTTAATCTTGCTTTTGTAGATCCTTTCGAACCTTAAGAAAATATCTCTCCTTCTTCCTCTTTCATTTTGATCACTACAGTGTTGGAACCTTCTTCTCAATTTATTATTCTGTTTTCTGATATAGTAAAGCTCACTATTCCACCAGGGAACTACATGCCTTTTTTGTCTTTTAAGGGGAATACAATCCCAACATATTTCATTAATTTTATCTATGACTTTTTCAATTTTCTGTACTGTTTCTTCCCTACTAGTACTTTCTCTATATACTATGTCACTCAGTTCTTTCCCACATCTTTCGTAAAATCTTTCCCATCTTGTCCTATTAACATCATATCTCCGTTCCTCTACCTTTGAACCACTTTTAGGTACACTTATTGTAAAACTTATGGGCGAATGATCACTAAAACCCCCTTCACTGTCCACTTCCCAGTCACCGAGCCACACTAAACCATTACCATTGCAAATCGTCAAATCTATCCAACTACAGCCTCTTGGACCAACAAATGTCGGTGGAGAGGTAGGATCATTAACTATGTGTAAACCATGCATTGCCAAGAATTCCATAAATCCATCCACTTCTGGGTCATGATTTGGGTCACCCCATATTGAAGAATGAAGATTAAAATCACCACCAAAAATTATAGGCAGACCATGAAATTTATTAATAACTTTTTCTATATTAGCATAAGTGCCATCTAAATCTTCGCCAAAAACTCTATAGATGCTAACAATAATTAACTTGTTTCCAGCCACATTAAGTTCAGCACACGCACACTGCTGATTACTCACATCAGAGTGAAAATGGATATCAATTTCCAAAGATGATACCGCAATAGCTACCTGCGCTTTAACAGTATCTGGATGAAGTATCCTTATACTTCTGCTAATACAAGCCACTTTATTTTTAACTGTATAAGGCTCTTGCAAAAGAGCAACATCCTTGGTTTCTAATCTTTTATTTATCATTGAGTTTGCTGCAATTGCCCTCTGCATATTTCCTTGTATTACTTTAATAACTTTTCTTTCATTAATTGGTTCCACTTCCATAATCGGTTCTACTAATAATAGTTGCCTTTGCTCTCAATACCAATGGACACTTTCTATCCAGGGCATTATGCTTTGTATCTGCCAATTTATCTCTCTTACAATTACAACACATTTTAACGGTATTTTTATTCGGACAATCACTATACCTGTGACCCTCTCCACATTGACTACATGTAGGGGTCTCTTGCTTACAATCTCGGGCAAAATGCCCCATTCTACAACAATTATAACACTGTACTATAGGTACAAAGTCTTCCACAGGGCACCTCACCCACTGCAGATTCAATTTTCCAAGCTTTAATAGTTGTATTCTATTTTGAGGGCTTACATCCACCACCCAACTAGAGGTGGGTTTATTCCTCTTTCCTAGTGGGAATCTTACCATGAATCCCCTTTCAAATTCTTCAAGTCCTGTACAATTTCCCTGCAATGTTTCATTTTGCTGATACACATACTTTATAATATCTTCTTTATCAATTTCTTTTGGTACTGAATGAATTATTACTTTTGGTACCCTTTTCTTAGGCTCACTTGCTGTTATTCCTGATATCTCGACCACCACCTTTTGTAGTTTGACCTTGTCACTTGTCTTTTCAACTTCAATTGCAATTGCTCCATTTCTTAACTTTCTTAGTCCTTTAACACCTATCTTCAACGCCTGAGGATTTATTTTCTCTTTGATCAACTTCTTAGTATTTTCAGCATCACATTCTCCCTCTGTGGGTTGCACTATTACAACTTTCCTCGGTTCCACAGTCTTTTTATTAACCAAAGGAGAACTAGCAACAACTTGTGCAAAAGTCCTTCCTCCTCTGCTATCTTCTCTCATCTTCAATTCTTCTAACTGTTGCTGCATTCTTAGCACCAAATTCTTCAAATCTTCACCTTCCGTCAATATTTCTATGATTGTTTCAACTTTCCTGAGTATTTGTGGTATATGGTCTCTTGATCCTATTTTTGAATGGGCATTAGACACCAGATATTCATGTAATTCATCTTGAACTTTTTGAGCCGCAGTAATCCTGTTACCTTGCACCCCATCTCACCGACTTGGCAATGAAGGAGTTGAATCCACTGGCTCTTCCTCGAGCCCTTCATCTCCACCTGTCCGGGCAAGAACAACAAAATGTGGAGGCTTACTCGCCATCACACAAACAAATAGCCTTGAAAAAGGCTGTAAAAGTCGCAACTACCTTTAGCTTCCCTAAAAAGGTACTAACGGGCCGCACCACGTGGAAGTAGGTAGCTACTTTTCCAAGAGCTCACGATAAAAGCAGCAAAAAGATCACAGAGAAAACGCTCCGGAATATTTGCCAAAAAACGCAATCGGAAAACTCACAATGGGACCAGCGGCCCAGTAGATAGGGACAATCGTCCCTAATGTCCAACCTTCTCTTTCTCAAACCACTGCACCTACCCAAAAGGGTTTATCAGTGGAGTATTCCTAATTATCTTTTCTTCCTAAATAACATTAAAAACAACAAAAACTTTCTAAACCATTAAATATACAGGACAACAAAATTTAATACATAATTCCTAACATTAAATTTACTATTAAATAATTAACCACTCTATATATTAAAGCCAACAATTATCTAAAGAAACAATTAAAATATCAATAAAATCAATAATAAAAGTGTATAACATACATTAAACCTAAACCCATAAAAGACTACTTTAACAAGCGCATACCCATCCTAACCTTAAACATCTCCTTTAAAATTTTAAAAACCTTATTATAATTACGTTTACTATTCACCAATTTCTCATAATTCTTTTCAATAGATAGAAGTTCACTATCAACACGCAATTCCATAAGTAACGGACAATCAAAGAGGAAGTGAGACAGGGAGTCCACAGAACCACACTCACAACGATTATCATTAACCAATTGAAAAGTAAATAGTTTATACCGAAAATCTCCGTGACCTGTCAGAACTTTTGACACATAATAATCAGGAGACACCCACTTTGCCATAAGTCTCTGCTGAATCATAGGGAAGAAACAAAAGGTAACTCTGCCCCTTTCTTCATTAACCCATCTAATATTCCAAATATTATTTAACTCACTCCTTATTTTATTCATAACTTGATTCCTATTGAATACAGACTCTTCAGGCCTAAATCGGAAGGAGCCCACATCAAAAGACCTATTAATTTTATATAAATACCTGTAATAAGCGTATTTTATCTCTAGATCTAGTGGCAGAATGCCTGAAATAACCTGAAGGGCAGGGGTTGATGCCGTACGATATGCTCTAGTAATCATCAATAAAATTGTCCTTTGTGCCTGATCCAGTTTTCTAATATGAAGGGCCCCCAGACCGTCGCCCCAAGCTCCAGCTGCATATGTAACCATCGGCACAAATAGGGCACTGTAAAGATGACGCAGAGCTGGGAGCCGAAGCACCCACTCTGCGCCCGCCAGCCCCTGTAACCTAGCAAAATAAACAATTGCTTTCTTACATACCCTTTCAATATGTGGAGTAAGACCCATACTTATACCTAGGGTAACCCCCAAGTAATGAGCTGTTCTCTCCATCCTAATTGAGATACCTTGAATACGCAAACTGGGGGGCGATCCGGACTGAGGCAACCCCTCAGCAAGACCATCACCGATTTTGCAGGTGCTAAGGTCAGCTTAATATCATCTAGCCAATCATACAGGGCATTCAATACCTCCTGACCCCTCACTTCCAAACACCTCCGTGAGTCCCCCTCCAATATTAGGACCAAATCATCTGCGTAAGCAATAAAAGAGACACCAAAATTCCGTAATTTAACTAAAATCCGATTAAATACATACTTCCAAAATTCAGGGCCTAAAACTGACCCCTGGGGACAACCTCTATTTATCCATTTAATCTCATCCAATGTTCCCTCCCTATAAATCACTTTCCTAAAATTAAAATAATCATTGACAACACTATATAAGTCATACGGACAATC